ATTGTGGACTGATTTTCACACGTTTAACATCTTTATCAAACAACAATAATACCATGGCCTTTAAATGTAGGCACAATATAACATTCAATACAACATAAATACCACAGATCGCTGTAGTTCACACGCTTTAGCGCCATCTACTAACACACTGCGCCACCTACCGTCATATATATCTCTCTTATATCGCCTGATTATATGCCATACGTGTTTATAGATTCCATGGACTGTATGTAACAGTATACCTGTTTGTAGCTGAAGTTTTAATGGGTTAACGGTCTGTTCATTACACCAGAAATTATCCACCATGATTTTTGTTTGACAAAGGAACAATACCAAGTTTGATCTGATGATGGTAGCAGATATAACTTGATGTTTTCAAACATACAAATCCAATTCTAACTTGTAAATTTGAAATTATTTAGCATTACTATATTTGGAGAGGGAATCACTGTGATAGGCACATACATAGACACTACTGGCTGTCTAGAACTGTCAATGTTAAAGTACGGAATGATAACGTCAAATCAAATGTGACTTTTTTTAATCCAGACGTTCTTAGGATGTATTACAACAGTACACCCTCTCGTTTTATAGAGATATTACAGCAGTATACCCTCTCGTTTTATAGATATATTACAACAGTATACCCACTCGTTTTATAGATATATTACCGCAGTATACCCTCTCGTTTTATAGATATATTACAACAGTATACTCTCTTGTTTAATAGATATATTACAAAAGTATACTCTCTTGTTTAATAGATATATTACAACAGTATAGACACTAATTTTATAGAGATATCACAACAGTATACCATCTCGTTTTATAGAGATATTACAACATTATACCCTGTTCTTTTATAGATATAATACAACATTATACCCACTCGTTTTATAGAGATATTACAGCAGTATACCCTCTCGTTTTATAGATATATTACAACAGTATAGACACTCGTTTTATAGATATATTACAACAGTATAGACACTAGTTTTATAGATATATTACAACAGCATACCCATTCGTTTTATAGAGATATTACAGCAGTATACCCTCTCGTTTTATAGATATATTACAACAGTATAGACACTCGTTTTATAGATATATTACAACAGTATAGACACTAGTTTTATAGATATATTACAACTGTATACTCACTCGTTTTATAGAGATATTACAGCAGTAAACCCTCTCGGTATATAGATATATTACAACAGTATACTCTCTTGTTTAATAGATATATTACAGCAGTATACCCACTCGTTTTATAGATATATTACAGCAGTATACCCACTCGTTTTATAGATATATTACAACAGTATAGACACTCGTTTTATAGATATATTACAACAGTATAGACACTAGTTTTATAGATATATTACAACCGTATACTCACTCGTTTTATAGATATGTTACAACAGTATACCCTCTCGTTTTATAGATATATTACAACAGTATACTCTCTTGTTTAATAGATATATTACAGCAGTATACCCACTCGTTTTATAGATATATTACAACAGTATACTCTCTTGTTTAATAGATATATTACAGCAGTATACCCACTCGTTTTATAGATATATTACAACAGTATAGACACTAGTTTTATAGATATATTACAACCGTAGACTCACTCGTTTTATAGATATGTTACAACAGTATACCCTCTCGTTTTATAGATATATTACAACAGTATACTCTCTTGTTTAATAGATATATTACAGCAGTATACCCACTCGTTTTATAGATATATTACAGCAGTATACCCACTCGTTTTATAGATATATTACAACAGTATAGTTTTACAACAGTATAGTAGTTTTATAGATATATTACAACAGTATAGACACTCGTTTTATAGATATATTACAACAGTATAGACACTCGTTTTATAGATATATTACAACACTATACTCTCTCGTTTTATAGATATATTACAACAGTATACCCTACGGTTTAGATATATTGTTACAGACTATAATTGTAACGTTGATAAACTTTCACATCAAAAGTTTTTGACAGATAATTTCTTCAAAAAAATAGTCTATGGTGCATCTATCATTGCTATTATTAAGGCAAGGACGACTCAGCATAACCAGGTAAACTATGGGATCTGTTCGGAATATAATCTAACACAAACTGTGGTTCATTTCACTGGCAGGTATATTTACACTTTTTTGGTCCGATAGGTTGGTATGTAATGAACAAGTACAGGTCATATATGGAAATATTTACAATATATGCAATATAAAAGACACAGAGCTCTTTCTTTCCATGTTTGTTCCCAGTGTGTGTTTTAGTCACATACGACATAAGTTATAAGTAAATACTAGATACTTTCATTTCGTAATCTGGTATGATATATAAATCAGATCACGTGCGTCATTGCATGTCATACCATGGAAACCTAGAGGTATGCACTTACTTTCACACCTGATGAAGGGATATTTCACATGGGCTGTCTTACATTTTGAACTTGTCCCATTAAAAAGCATATCACTTTGACAAACCGAAGACATCTCAGTATTCTAATTATCATCCATACTAGTGTTACCAAGAATCGTTCACCTAATCCAGATGGGAAAATGTCATTATCTATTCCTTCATCCAATAGTTCAGTTGTTTTGTATCAGATTACGTGTTATTTACATCTGTCGTATTGATCACATTTTATCCTTTTTATATATAATCCCATTAAAAGAAATATCACAAAATTCGTATATATAATTACATTTTACAATGCGTATTCCTTACAAAGACATGCTTCTACAAACCGAACAAACTCAAAATGTTTTAATCCTTTCATGTCATTTTTTTTCCTGTCTTCATTTCATCAAAGAATGTTTATACAGTTCTTACTGGAAGTTTAAATTGTCCCCATCTGTTCAAAAATATATTTTCTATTGAATAAGTAAAAAATGATAACAAAATATCGAGAACCCAATGCCTAATGACCGTCACGAATTTTGTTGAGTCACTGTTTCGTTAAGGTCAAACAAATTAATGAGATAAACGGTCCCGATTTTTTATGGTTTGTATAGAAAGGAAATTCACTACGTCAGTAGACAGTGCTAGTCTGACAGTTAACGTCCTATTCTGTTTGATAAAAGTCACTCCATACCATAATTCATCATCTTTTATGTAGTGAATAATGTCTATTCGACAGTATTATCAACAAAGATCTCTTAAACGATAAAAAATGGCTCTCTGTTGACATTCAAGTCTCCTAGTACAAAAATATTATATAAGTACTGTCATCGTGGATATTTTCGTCGGTATTTCTATCACGTTTTAATAATCAACGCCTGCTGCAGTTACGTACCAGAACAATAATACTAAAACAATGATAATGTAATCGGTAGGGTCAACAGTCAATATTTGACTCAAACCCATACTACATAACTACACAAATAAATCCACGAAATACTTTTGACCTCATTATTAAAACTATTTCAAAATTAAGTAAAGCCAATTTTGGAGTATGCTATGAAACATCGTGTTCAATAACTTACTATTACAATCGCCTTCTCCTCACCCTATACTGAGGATTATATTTATGAAATGCTTTTGTGATACAAATTATAAACTGATGATGATGAAATAGATTGTAATTACAAAGGAACATCTGGTCAGAAGATGACCTACATTTCAAAAGATATATGACAACGGGAAAAATTGACAAAAAAGTGTGTCATTCACGATACAATCAAATAATGCATTTATCAATATATATTTATATATATATATATATATATATTTGTTTTGTTATATATATATATAACGTAACAAATAAAATCAAAACAGACAAAAAAAAAACACAAAAAGACAACAAAACGACAACAACAAACACAAAACAAACAAAAAAAACATAAAAAAAGACATTAAAACGACAACAACAAACACAAAACAAACAAAAAAAGCAAACAAAAACACAGCAATAATAAAAACAAAACCAAAAAAAATCATATAAACATATCACCAAATGTAGCCCGAACTTTATGTTAATGAAATCTCGGTCAATTATATTTATATATCAATATATTTAAAAATGATATTTAAACTGCCACGTCTGTAATTTGTAACAAGACACCTGGTACAAGGAAAGCCTGAGAAGGCCTCATTATATGTCCCTTATTTTGCTCTGCGGGAGAATTTGCTACAATTATGACAAAAATTAAGTATATTACAATTCTATAGACATATATGGTTGGCTTTATAATGGAGAACTTGGGCCTATCTCCCTACATGTCGTCAGATAGTGTATATATGATATCTTGATTTTCGTTTAAACTCAATTCGTATTCATTGATTTAACCTTTGCAGCCATTCAAGGTTACCAGAACTATCATGATCCTACGTCCAATAGCGAAGGACAGAATGTAGACTGGTGGAGACACCAAATCGTGTTTACAGTGTATATAATTTAAAGTCACATTCTCTTTGGGGTAAATAATGCAAGCAAATACCCGCAAAACAAAATCACAATTCACACATACTTGTTTGTCATATCGCAACAGAATAGATCCAAATAGGGAAAATGTTTCTTGCTAAATGAAATTAGTAAACATCTATTGCTTTCTGATGCTGGTAATAGTCGACTGCTACATGATGGTGGTAATAGTCGATAGCTACATGATGGTGGTAATAGTAGATAGCTACATGATGGTGATAATAGTCGATAGCTACATGATGGTGGTAATAGTCGATAGCTACATGAAGGTGGTAATAGTCGATAGCTACATGATGGTAGTAATAGTAGATAGCTACATGATGGTGATAATAGTCGATAGCTACATGATGGTGGTAATAGTCGATAGCTACATGATGGTGGTAATAGTAGATAGCTACATGATGGTGGTAATAGTCGACTGCTACATGATGGTGATAATAGTCGATAGCTACATGATGGTGGTAATAGTAGATAGCTACATGATGGTGATAATAGTCGATAGCTACATGATGGTGGTAATAGTCGATAGCTAATAGTCGATAGCTACATGAAGGTGGTAATAGTCGATAGCTACATGATGGTGGTAATAGTAGATAGCTACATGATGGTGGTAATAGTCGACTGCTACATGATGGTGATAATAGTCGATAGCTACATGATGGTGGTAATAGTAGATAGCTACATGATGGTGATAATAGTCGATAGCTACATGATGGTGGTAATAGTCGATAGCTACATGAAGGTGGTAATAGTCGATAGCTACATGATGGTGGTAATAGTAGATAGCTACATGATGGTGGTAATAGTCGACTGCTACATGATGGTGATAATAGTCGATAGCTACATGATGGTGGTAATAGTAGATAGCTACATGATGGTGATAATAGTCGATAGCTACATGATGGTGGTAATAGTCGATAGCTACATGAAGGTGGTAATAGTCGATAGCTACATGATGGTGGTAATAGTAGATAGCTACATGATGGTGATAATAGTAGATAGCTACATGATGGTGGTAATTGTAGATAGCTACATGATGGTGATAATAGTAGATAGCTACATGAAGGTGATAATAGTAGATAGCTACATGAAGGTGGTAATAGTAGATAGCTACATGAAGGTGGTAATAGTAGATAGCTACATGATGGTGGTAATAGTAGATAGCTACATGAAGGTGGTAATAGTAGATAGCTACATGAAGGTGGTAATAGTAGATAGCTACATGATGGTGGTAATAGTCGATAGCCACATGATGGTGGTAATAGTAGATAGCTACATGATGGTGGTAATAGTAGATAGCTACATGATGGTGGTAATAGTAGATAGCTACATGATGGTGGTAATAGTAGATAGCTACATGATGGTGGTAATAGTCGATAGCTACATGATGGTGGATATAGTCGACTGCTACATGATTGTGGTAATAGTAGATAGCTACATGATGGTGGTAATAGTAGATAGCTACATGATGGTGGTAATAGTCGATAGCTACATGATGGTGGTAATAGTAGATAGCTACATGATGGTGATAATAGTAGATAGCTACATGATGGTGGTAATAGTCGATAGCTACATGATGGTGGTAATTGTCGACTGATGGATATGGAGGCGTGCTGATTATTTAAACGACCAAAATCAATGTTACAAGGGTATATGTGGTATTGTATAGCTGTGACGTTTGCCTACGAGTGATCAGTATAATATTCATCATTTAGACAGGTCACAAAAAAACAGTCTTTCTCTTTATTATATCATAAAAGCATTTGCACGTGCACCTACCAGTAATGACAACGTATATCATATTTACTTACTGGGTCATAAACCAGAACTAACATTTTTCAACACTACATCGTTAGCAGGGAAATAGATTACTGAAATATGACAAGGTTAATTGAGTGGGCGACTGCGTTTCGTCTGTGTCTATCGACCACGAGTTCGTGGGGGAGTATATTACTGGTGTTCGTGTGACGATAAAGTTCAAAATGTCATAGAAACAGACTATAGTCATTACAACAATAGCTAGACGGTCATATACAAGCAAAGAGAAGCAATTACATAGTGCAACTTAAATATCTCACATTCTACTGTTTTTAGAAAGTACAGTGATTATCATGATACTCAAAAGGGACGGAAGCAGGAAACACTTCTAGTTATAAATATAACATTAGTGACATTTACAACAGATCTTCAGAAAATAACTCATTTCTGTTGATAACTGTTGAAGGAAATCAATATCAAACAGCTGTGATTTTATCAGTCTGCCTCAACCCACCATTTCTACAATATTTACAGTAAGGATTTGTCTTATGAAGGAAATAAAATTAGAATTGTATGTTGTCTATTTAACATTTACGAAATTTAAAAAAATGAAACTTACATATGTCACTATTCGACGATATCGAAAGCATTCGTAGACAGAGTTTTTTTTAATGTAAAGGGTAATTTTTCGTCACGTATATGGAAAAGAAATTCAAACTATATGTCTTAAAGTAGTCTTGACATTGAACTTAATGAGTTTGAAATTGAACCGAGTTTAGCGGTACGCAGGTCATTATTTATTTTACAGGCTAGCTGTCAGCAATGATTAATCCCTTATAGACAAAATAACCACAATTTAAAAAATAAGTACTTTGTCTTATTTTAGAGCAAAAGTCTTCATATAGATAGGTGTATTAGTCAATGTCATCTCTTCCGGCTCAATCTGACCTTGAATGTCCTTGAACAGATCACGTGCAGTTCCCGTGCAGCTGAAGCAAAAGACCATCCTAATTTGACATATATCTTTCTTCCATGTGTATACACTTGAATCTTCATTATAACGTAAGAAAATTGATTTTATCAGCGGAATATCAACGTGATCGCGAAAATTGCTTTCTGGAATAACAGGACAAGTGTGATATTATCCGCGTTTTAAAGACTGTTATCAACACCGTCACTATACCACGTGACCACCTCCAGTTATCCAAGTGATTTCCGACAACTTTAACTGGTTGAACTTCGACCCGCGAAAATAATCGGTAATGTCTAAGGGTAGTAAGATTTTCACCCATTTTTCCTCGTTCGAGTTCGGACCAGTTCTGTTCAGGTATGCTACACGGAGTCTTGTCTCTTTATTTTTTTATCATAGTTAGCATTCAAAGGGAAAATACACATATGACATACAAGAATGATAGAAAGAAGTTTTAATACAAATTGTGAGAAATAGTTTCATATGCTTGTCACTTACAATGTAATTCCTATTGTATACAAACACAATATTATTATTCTATAATTGTACGAAAAACCAAACACAACACAAAGCGGGAGAGATAAATACCAATTAAACCAGTAGTTAATGTATTTCTCCATATAAAGATAAAACCAGTTCCTCATACTTGTGTTTCTCGTTCTAATGATAAATAACTTCTTCTGGAGGCAAGCTGTAGGAAGCTGGATCGATATTGATTCTTCTTGACCTGGTTCATGACAAAATTGCACAATAAAACAATTCATTGCCGAGTATGAATAATGTGTCTTTGATAACGAACACATCACACGCAACGGTAAGACAGGCTGTTTATATAGGTGTTAGAGTTTGTACAGTAACAAATATATTTTCTGTGATTTTTATAAAAAGGTCACAACTCTAAAACAAAACAATGACGTAAGATTTGGTACATCAAATAGGTTATAACTACAGCCAAGTATATCAATGTTTATCTTTTATTAAAAGGGAAAAGAACGTGTACATAGTTAAAGTTGTTTATTGTTTATTCATTGGCTTCTATTGTTGATTGTCTGTAAAACAATACAAACACATCAACAGTATGACATCGAAAACAAAAAAACATTCTAGCTCGTTATGTGTTGTAGAGAACCTACCAAGGCTTTGTGGCCGACATCAACCCGAATACCAGAAGATTGCTGTTTGTAATGGCGATGTATATGATAATGGTAGAGATATACTCTATAAAATGTCTTAACCAAAACCAGGAAATATCTGTAGTGTTTAATTGTAAATCGAACACAGCTGTGCATCATCCATTTAACCAGATCATATACTTTCCTGATGATAAGATGAAAACTTTATAAAACAGACGTTAACACCGTTATATACTAAATCACTTATTGTAATACCGTTATACCACCAGGTACCGACTATCCGTCCAAACAGGAAACGTCGCTATGTAAATTTCTCGTGCTTTTTCTTCCTTTGCTTTATCATTCCTGAAAGATTTGTCAGCTTAAGCAGGCTGTTCAACATAAAACCACTTTAATGAGACAATTTCATTTCAGAATATAATTTTTCATATATTTGAAAATCAATGTGAAATCAAATTAGAAAAACTGTTTTAATGATACAGCTAATGCAGCACGTGCTTTATCTATTCATAGCATTTATAAACAGTAAAGTTAAAATGTTCAAATGGAATCACGTTATCTTTACCATACCTTTTCACAGTAATGGTTATGGGCCTTTCAGATGGTCAATGAACCTCGGTTAGTCAATCGATCTAACCTACTTTCATCACAGGGCGAGTAATTATCTTCTAAAAATACAAACCAGAAATTATTCTTTATGTCTCTACCACAACAGGTGGGTGTTATCTAGCTTCAAAGGCATCAATTAATCATTCTAACAGTTGTATAAACATACATGTTATAGCACACGTGGTGCAACACTTTAACATGTTTTGATTGGCTGACACGGTGAACTTTGACCGTGGGTACAGAACAGGTCAATTCAACTTCAGAAAAACTTATTATTTATTGTGGTAGAATGAGGTCACACAAACTCGTGGTTGTAATATACGGCATTTTTCCACTCGTTTGTTCTTTTCCAAAATGTTACAAAAACACTCGCTAATGCTCTTTTGAAACTTTAACAAAAAATAACTTTAACATACCAAAACCACATGTGTGTAACCTCTTCGGCCATAAACCTAACGATTATTTTATGAAGAACATTTCATTTAACGATATCACAAAACCAGTTAAAAAAAACGTGTCCAGTTATTGTAAACAAATCCAATGTTATCTCATAGCTGTGTACCACCCTTTCCTTCAGGAGAGGTCGACCCCTGGAGAGTATCTATCATAAGAGATTGAAACTCCACGCGGTGTTTGGTGATCTTTTTGTTCGCATATAATACGAATCGATACATTTAAGTACATTAAATATGATACCTGTAATTACAGAGGTGAAGTTATAGATCTCTGTTAAAGGTAAACACTTCTTTGTGGCGCTATGTATCTATGACCCCACCAAATCGTACCCAGTGACATACTTACACAAGGTTAATCAGCGATGTTCAGCTATTTTGTCAGATCTTTAAATATCTCATACCTCGATCAATTTGCTATCACAATGCTATATTTTTTCTCGAAATATATATGCATGGCTCTCATATTTCGACTAAACGTGAACAGCATATGGAACAGCTTTCAGCAAAAATTCAAACTTCTAAACGGGTGTCATAAAAATGCCTGATAAAATCTGATAAAAAAATTACGATATTTTTTCATCACAAAACAAAGTTACAGATTGACAGGTTTTAATTTTGAAATGTGAAAGACAAAATCAAAGAAAGGCAGCGATTCCAACTCATGACGCAACGTCATTGTCCATATCATGACGTCATAATCAATTTCTGAATGGTAAAGCCAATCAAAATGATCGGGTTATTACATTAATATGCATAAATATCACTGCTAAATTATATACGTTATGAGGTTATAGCTGTAATGCAGTGTAGGAATGCACCCCTCCCTGACAGGTCCCTGATCATTACACAACTGTTACTTTCGACACACTCACGATTTCGGCGTGCTTCAACGTTTTTGGGGTAGTTCTATATATATTAAAACTCTGTGCCAAGGTAAATATGCACACTAGCTACAGGAGGATTATTAACGTTTGAAGATCTCTGTCAATATGTATATAAGTATATAATCTAGTATGATGTCGGGGTAGGTTGTCACTCACTGTTCTCGACACCAATATCCCCTCTCCATGAGAACGCCTCTTTGAAGGTGCGCACAATACATTGACAAGGATGTCTCTTTTTTCCCTTTCATATGAAAACAAATGTCAATCTCGATAAGCAAATGTTTATCTTTTAAGACACATTAGATAAGGTCATTTTAACACCTTTTCTTGTTTTAGTTGAGCACCTCGAAAATTGCATGTGTCACCTTCCTGGGTTACGTGGGCAATCTCAGGTTTGAGTACCGACTCAATGATAGATGTGACACCTTGTCAAGTAAATAAACTGAATTTCATTTAAAAAATCATAGAGTTCACTCCGAGTGTCCAGAAATGTTCTCGACGCATACCATTGTGTCGCGGACTTTGTACTATACGTTCAGAATCGCTTTATAATATAAGATAATGATGTTTAATTGTTTGCAGTCTTGGGCCATATGCTTGTGAACACTTAAATATATATGTATATATTTGCTTTGCATAGAAACATCCGTATGTCTAAAGGTAGTGAAGTTCACTTTTTGGGATTCTATCTGAAAGGTTAATTTCATCACTTCATAAACGATAATGTTTATATTTTAACGTTGACAATACATTAAGTTCTTGTGAAAACATTAAGATGTAGGAGGAAG